ACATTGTCACGGGAAAGGCCGCGCAAATGTTTTTATTCGAAGTTACAGAAGACGAAACTCAGAGAGAAAAATTAGCTATTTATATTTTTATTGAGGGCCTCAAACATGAAATCAGACGTTACGTTTGCCCTTTTACTTTTTACAACAAATTACAAGACGCACGCTTACACGCCGTACAAATAGAAAAATATCTAATAGACATCAATCGCATCAAAAGAAATTCGATCCGCCCCATATCGGAGTCTTTTAGAAAATAACAACACTGAACATTACACAAAAAACAACTGTTTTGCACTATTTTCTTTTTTAGGATACTGACAAGTAACTACAAGACATTGCAGTAGCCACCAGGTGCTAAACACCGAAAGACCTCACCCATTACCAATCTCCTTCCGTAAAATCCCACAAAAATGTACAAAAGTAACACTAATGAACAATCCCCCCCCCCCCCCTCTCTCCCCCAAAAAAATACCTCGTACTGAAAACACATTGCATAACAAATCAAATTTAATGGAAGCAGAGGTTACTTATTATGTAAATAGTAACTTTTCACCTACTTGCACAAGTTGTCATTACACCCTACCCATACAACAACAATTATCATATAACCTTGTCTATGTCAAAATCATCGGTCCTTACAGACCACCATACGTCATACGATGCATTAAATGCACAGACTGCATACATCATGTCGTTCTACACTATCCCAACCTAGAGTTACCTATAGACTCAATTCCTAAAACACCCGGCATTAACAGCCTTTTACCTTTCCGAACAAAAAACATCCGCTCTTTAAAACAATTTCATGAACACTACTCTAACTGCTTACAAATAGCCATGAAATATATAGCAGAGATAAGAGATATCTTTGAGAAACACACTGACCAAAACACACCTACACAAACACATTACACCGCTAGTAATCATCGCGACATCCAAGATAAAAATACAATGCTCAGCGAACTACTCAAACCCAGTACCACTTACCCTTCCGACTCGTCCCCACGAGTAGCACCGCTCCTTCTCCGTAGAAACTATAACATCTCCCCAACCACACTAATAAATATCTTTGACCAAATAGATAATTGGGAACGGATGGAGCTTTTTAACAAAATCGCTGTCAACGCTAGACAGAAATTTAAAAAAAAAAAAAAAAAAAAAAACTCTTCCAGCTAACACCAGCAAAATGCCCCTACCCAGAGTACTTCTCATCAGTCTACTAACTACCGTCATATGCCAAAATCAACCAACTACAAAGCAATATGATAGTCAGCCTGGAATCGCTTTCGAAAGAGGACCTACCATATGATTTATTCAAGAAAAATGGAATATTATCACCGCTCTCGACATCAACTTAGTGCTTAACTCTCATTACAATTTCACCCAAACACTGGAAAAAATATCTGCAGCTTGCAACACAATCGAGATAAACGATTTTATCAAAAATTCTATATACACAGCCTACGAAGAAACAAAAACTCCAACACATCAACGAAGCAGTCAGCACCTCTCTCAACGCGTACGCTTTTGACACACCCAACGGGGGGCGGGATGCCCTAGCATCGCTGGACAGCCTCTTACTCGAACATGCCGATAAGGCCCTGGAAGATATCTTGTATATGCGCGAGAGTAATTTGACCGAACAAATGGGCGAGTATGACTTATCTTATATTACCGAAAATAATTTACAATCAGAGACAAATCTTTTGCTTTTTACAAAGTCTCGCGCAGATTTCATTACTAGCGCAATGAGCCCAGTATATAATTCTACACACATTAGCCTTATTTTAGCCGAAATTAACGACATTTTACATAAGTTTACTTACATATCATCTGAAGTACGTCAACTCCTGCAAAACAAACAATTTTCTTTCAATCCGCAATTTTTGCTAAACGCGATAAAAACTATCAAGGCAATTACTAATTCGAAGTTGCCAGTACATATGTCAAAAATCAATATCATAACACTACAATAAATTGCAGAAGTTAACGTAGTCTATTTCCGTAAGAACATCATTGTCGAAGTATAGTTTTTCCCCTTGTCGCAAGCAGCAATACACAGAGTTTCAAATTATATTCGCTGCCAGTATTCCAGTATCCTAACAAAACTAACCAAATCGCTAAGTTCATTAGACCATAAAATGATTACCTGACTGTGACAGAGGGAGAAGCTACTCATGCCTTTGTAAGCAAGAATTTAATTGATAACGAGTGTAAACGTATTTTTTCCTTCTATCTGTACCCGCGCCCGACTATACGCAAGCCAAACAATAATTCCTGCGAGTTTAACCTGTTAACATCACCGGAAGAGTTAAATCTTGTATTTTGCCAACTTGAAACTAGCTCCGAAACTGACTATTATCTTATACCGACGTTACAAAATAATATTTTGCTATACTCAGTGACTCTCAATACTTCCTTTGATATTAATTGTAACGGCGTAGTACAACCCTTTCCTTTAAATGGTACCGGATTAATACAGATTCCCCAGCCGTGCGAACTTAGAACAAGCCACCATATTTATTTAGGGGCAAAGAAAAAACTAAAGGCGGAAAATTTTGTAATTCCGAAAATCTCTTTGATAACTACAGACAAAATAGTAATGAAAAGCCCAAACACAAATAATAATCAGAACAGATACAAGCACTCGGACCGAGCGAAATTATTGCACGTATATTTAACTTTAGGTGTAACCATTGTAATCGTTGTCGTATCCGTAATCGCAGTAAGTTGCATACTCTGCGCATATAGAGTGTGCAGTAACAAAGACCGCGGCTTCGAAAATATACCAATGCAAGAAATTAATCCACCCCTAACTCCTCAAAAAAGAATGATCTGCAAATCTGCACAGACATTACTTGACGGAAAATATTTTAGGCTACCAATCAACTACGACACTCCTCACTCCCCACCCGTGGCCGTGCAAGTGGTCCCACTCCAAAAATCCGAAACAACAGACACTCCTCCAACTCTTCCCGCTCTCTAAAATAAAAAAGGTATAAAAACTCTAACATACCCCCCCCCCTGTCATATCAGACACTCCATAAAATCAGCACGATGAAAAGTACGGCAACTACCACACTCGGCCCGCCATGCAAGAAGGCTAATCGATCCTGGACGACGGAACAAATATGCAACAGTCGGACGTCGGCAGCAACAATGGAACGACTATTTGCAAGAGGGGAGAACCGGAAGGCCCAGACGAGCATGCAACATCCCGAACTGCCGCTATTAGACGACGATGGAGGCTGGAACTACCACGAGCTGACGCAGTATATTTTCCAGGAGGCTCATCACGGATACCTGCACTTAAGATTCCTCTTAGAGGAAACCTATGGAGGAGAGGGATTCGAACGAGCCCCTTTTAATCCATACCGTGTGTGCGGGCAAGACACCGCACATTGGCAGGGATGCTTCTTCTGCCGAGCACGCGTCGCAGCCGCTTCAAAGGATCAACAACTAGCCATGGAGGCCGAATGTGTCCGCCCGGAGCATTTTATGCTCAGTAATGCCCCCTGTGCCAGATGCATTGGCAAGGAGTTTTTATGTAGGTTCCAGAGGAGCTTGCAGGTTCATCGATTGGAGTTGCTGTAATCCTATCCCCAGTCCTTCCTATTCTTAGAATAATTGAATAATAATAAATAATAAAAATAAATACAAAAATAAACAAAAAAACAACACAAAAAATACACACAAAAAAAAAATAATAATATATATATATATGTAAGACACAAAAAAAAAACAAAAACAAAAAGTATACTCATACCAAATAATTGCAGTAGCGTTCGGAGAACGCTAGTCCCTTGCTCTATCAGCAAAGGACTCCGAGGGGTGGGCATGTTACGTCGATACGAAAGAAAAAGTACATGACGAATTATAAGTTATGGTAACAAACCGGGTATCGATAATTTAGTTTTCTATTGTACCAACCCTCCCAGGAAGATTTGTAAATCTATCTAGCGGGATAGATTAGTCTAAGCACGTCTCCATAATATTTCCGCGAATATTACTCACCGCATATTAAATTAGCGAAAACACAGGAAGGGGCATCTCAGCCTACGGTATAAAAAGGCTGGATTGGAATTCGCACGTACGCAGTACACAGTTGACGATTCAGCAGTTTGGTAGTTTCGCAAAGTTATTTTTTAAGTCTAACTATCCGGCTACTTAGAACCGGGATTATACTCTGTTAAGTATTATAATTAACTTTAAACAATAAACCTTAAATCAAGCGCAAACACCTGAGACTGTTCGTAAAAAACCTCTTCTGAAATCTAATCCTAATAAGGTAAGAAACTATTTTATCTACTTAAAACGCCCTACGTATAATAAAGGCGCTATCCCTTTAACTAACCTCTGCTTAACTCCTGACTAACATCCAACCTTTACCAACGCGACAATACTTGAATATATTATTACGTCTGGCTGTAACATCTCCTCGCCTAGACATAACAATACACATTTCAGAAAGGAGGGAGTGTTAGAACTATGGTTCTGTAGCGTGCATACGTAACAAGATATAGCTGTTTGTGCCACCCTTGAGTCAATTCGAGCTGCTGTCAAGAACTGAGCTGCTACTCCTTCCGTTGAATAAAGAGATTTTATTGTTGTAAAATATATCTTATGATTTATCCTATGTATAAAAACTTTTTTTATAATAAGTATGAATCAAGACTGAGTTCAATCAATAAAAACATCGATATCAAGGATGGACGTTAGAAAAAGAGAACTTTAACAGGAGTTTGGAACTTTTATATTTCTGTATATTAGTAGTGTCGAGCTTTACATACGGTCTTAACTCGTAGCTACTTAGTGCCGATTTGATATGCGAGCAGCTATTGCGAGTCATAATACAATTAGAAAATGTACATGCCTGTTTTTTTTAAAACAAATTGCCTATTCAAGTTTAAAAAGGAAAGAACAAAAAGAAGACGTGCATCATTAATAATCGTTAAAACTTTATTATATATAACAATGTAATTTTATGCCAACAATTGCATCACTAAATATTAAATTTGTTTTTAATTTCATAATATAATAATATATAATCGAATCTATTTTATAATAAATTTCTATACGGATTTTTGAATATAAAAAATCAACTTAAAAAATTAATATTTCTATTTATTACAAAGCCAGCGCATGAATGTTAATAATTGTTTTGTACCTATATTTTATCGTGCCTTAATTTTTAGTCCATTCTAAAAATGTTCTTATATAAAGAGATGTCAAATTATTTACTATTATACAGATGTTTGTTGAAGAAGATTAAAAACTGAGTACGATGTTTTAAGAATCTAAAAAAGATATGTTATTATTTTCAGTAAGTCAATGATTATATTACATGCTAATATTATATTACATGTTTATATTACATGCTAAAAATGTAGTTAATATTTGTTATTAATTATTAAGCTCATTCAATAATTATACACGTGCGCAACCAAAATAGCAAATGATAATCACCACGCGAAAGCTGTTAGACTGATTTTAAACAGAATAGAGAAATCGAAGAAAAAAGTGACGAGAGAATTTCGTCAACTTAATTTGGCTCTTGGAGGGTAATGATTATGGTAAAGATATAAGAATAATACATAAATAGATAGAGAAGAATTAGCTACTCAATATATAAAAACTTATAGAAATCAACGAGGTTTTACATCGAAATTAAATAAAAATTTAAATGGACGTCTCCAATCAAGAATTTCATCACCTGCTTTTAATCAAGAACCAAAGTTTTTCAGGAAATAGCGATCACATAATTTCTATAAATCTATATTTCAGTTCGTACGCACAATATTTACGTGAAAATAGGTAGTCGGTTAAAAAAGACATGGATACGTTCTATTTAATTGTTATCACCATTACGTATAAATGATTTTTATATAGGGCGTTCAAAAAGCAACGAAACACCCCAAAAATGTGCCTAGTAAACTATTATTTTGAAAAGGTCAAGATCGTTCTATGGATAACTTTTCACAAGGAATCGATTGGTAACTTTTCACGAGGAATCGACTGCTAACTTTGAATTTTACCTTGAGCGTGTCCTTTAATGATATTTCAATGATAACTTTGTTTTTTTAAATAAAAACCCCTATTTTGGACAACAGCATTCGACAGAGCGGGAAATTTTATATTAAACATGTATTTAGGTTATGGGTCATAGGGTCATACAGTCATTGGGTCACGTTCAAGGTGCTTCATTTACGTGAATCTCTTTGCCTCTTACGCTCCGAGTGCTATATTTACGTGAGTCCTCTCTCTTTCGTATTCAATGACTAGCTTTAATTAGTACAGCATTTTATTTCAAATGCTCGAATTGTTCTCCATTCACCTCTTGATAATAGGTTAAGCTATGACAAAAAGTAGCAACAGCATTTTGCATCATTTGAGTGGGAATGAGGGCTCATTTATCTACGATTCTTTGTCGTAATTCGTCTAAATCTCGGGGTTTCGTTTAGAATACCCTATCGTTAAGATAACCCTAATAAAAGTAATTAAGAGGCGTCTAGTCAGGTGATCTGGACGGCCATTGAGTTGAGCCCCTTCATCCTATCCCCCGATCAAAGAATACTTTATCTAAGTAAGCGCGAACATTTCTTGCATAGTAAGCTCATGCACCGTCCTACTGAAACTACATCTCTTTAAAATTATCTCCAGCTATCTCTCTCATTGCAGGAATCATATGGTTTCAAAGCAAAGCTTCATACTTTTGAGAATTCAAGTTACCAACAATGAAAAATGGTTTGATGATTCTGTTGCTAAGGATTCCTGCCTAAGCATTCAATTTCTGCGGATACTGAAATTACTTTTCTAGTTTCGAGTGAAGATTTTCATCTGACTAATGTTTGGAAGTAGTATAGCAATGTATATTCCAGTACACCTGCGCGGGGTCTCCGGTGTGCTGGAACATACGTATGTTTCAGTACACCTGTGGGGGGTCCGTAACCTTTTGGCCCCCCTGGCCTTTCATGTTAATAATAATTGTTAATGTTAACAATTATTATTAACAATATTCGTAGGGGGGTCCCTGGTTTAACCTTTTGATTACCTGGCCTAACCCTTCAATGTTAATTATTATTAATGTTAATAATTGTTTATAATTTTTTGAGGAAGGTTTCTAGGGCTCCCAGTCACTAAGGCTCCTAGTCCCTAGGGACCCTATACCTAGTGCTTTCAGTCTAATTAAATTTAAATGTATTTTTTTTAAAAGTTATAAATATATATTATTGACCATTTACTTGCTACATTGAAAATGAAACGAGTAGAAAATAGCGACGATTTTTGAAAAAAATGAAGAGACAGACCGGAGAATCGAACCGGAGTCCTCTGGGTTGGCAAGCTAGCGCTCTACCACTAGAGCTAATGCCACATGTACCTTAATGGATGCATATTGTGTATATTAGCTACACACGCATACATTTGGTATAGGGCCTGAGCGTGCGGAGGAGGGGGGGCGCATACTGTCTATAGTTCTAACTTGAGGATGCGTGCTCTCTCTCTCTCTCTCTCTCTCTCTCTCTCCTACGCTCTAGCTAGGCGTGGACCATGGTGCGCGGAGGGGAGCGTATGCTGTCTATAGTCAATGCGTGCTCTCTCCACGAAGGGAACTGTTTTCGTGAGAATGCTAGAGACTACGAATGCAGTCGCTCGACTGACACATCCTTGAGATGTTCCTCCTAAACATCTCTGCTAGGAGAGAACCTTATTGCCATCCGTTCGCCCTTTCTTGCAATCGTTATGATTATTTTACTATTTAAATAAGTACCCATTTTATTATTTATTTAATATTTATTATTTTTAATTATACATTGACTAGAGTACACTTTGTCTATAATCTTTATGTTCAGTGTCTGACATAGCTATTTTTAAATATTCAGTTGAATTTTTATATGAACTATAGTCATCTGTAAATCTTTCGACCGTGTCGATCCCTTTTGATTTTGCTTGTTTTTGTCTTTCCATCATCCAATCGTGTATCTTTTGTGTATTTACCGCAGCACATACTATATTCTCGAGATTTTGACTATGATATATGCATGATGGTTTAAATTTAAGACTTAAATCTTCCAATCGCGGACATCTCATTTTAGTTTCGATATCTAAAATATTTCTGTAATTAAAAAAAAAAACTAATTAAATTCGAATTTAGAATTTTGTACTATTGTATATTATTTGAACCTACTTTTCAGGAATAATTTTTTTGAGCCATTGCTTCTTTTGTAATCCTTTCACATAAATATTTCTACAATTATGTAAATAACTACGAATAGTACAATTTAAAAAATTATATGGTAAAATACCATTTCTCCATAATGTACCTATAAAATTGATTATATTAAATATTTCAAATAAAATCAATGTTAATTAACGATAATAAAAATAAAAACATGATGATGTAATTCCAACCACTTATTAACACTTTGATATTCAATAGGCAGTTTGAGCCAATGATATGGAGGCTTAAAAAGTCGTAGTGTAGGTGAAGTATTAGAACATACTGGTAAATAGACAAACTCTTTACGAATAAAAATATTATTAGGACTCTGAAAGCCTTGAATATCTAAAATATAGTCCATCTTGGAGTATAAATCCCATTATTCTCTATGATATGTGAGCTGAATCGTATCTCAAAGTAATAATGACTATATTTTTATTCTGAAGATCTATATACGAGGTGTGTTCAAAAAGTAAGGTGACTTTGTATTTTTAAGAAAAAATATTTATTTATTTATCAATATTTATGTTGTCCTCTTCAAAGTAATCCCCCTCAGATACAATACACTTATGCCAACGGTTTTTCCAATCCTCAAAGCACTTCTCATAAGTACTTTTCGGTATAGCCTTGAGCTCTTCCAGCGATGCAGTCTTTATCTCTTCAATCGTTGCAAATCTCCGTCTTTTCATAGGTCTCTTTAGTTTTGGGAACAAGAAAAAGTCACATCGGGCCAATTCCGGTGAATATGGTGGCTGAGGCATGATTGTGGTGTTGTTTTTGGCCAAAAAATCAGTGAGAAAAACTTTGACATTTGATCGAACTTGGCGTACTTTTTTCGGTCTTGGCTCATCTGAGCTCTTCCATTGGGATGATTGGACTTTGGTTTCGATATCATAACCATATACCCATGATTCGTCACCAGTTATGACCCTTTTGAGTAAATCTGGGTCGTCGTTGACGTCATTCAACAGTTCTTGAGCGATGCTCATGCGACGGTTCTTTTGGTCAAAATTTAGCAATTTCGGAACAAACTTCGCTGACACACGTCTCATGCCCGAAACGTTAGAAAAAATTTCATGGCACGAGCCAAGCGATATACCAACATCCTCAGCAACTTCTCTGATAGTGATTCGACGATTTTCCAGAACAATTTTCTTCACTGCTTGAACATTTTTATCAGTTGTTGACGTGCTTGGGCGTCCAGAGCGAAGCTCGTCATTGGCATCTTCCCGGCCATCTTGGAAGAGTTCGTACCACTTGTAAACATTTTTTTACTCAGAACAGTTTCACCTTATGCCACCTTCAACATTTCAAATGTTTCGGAGCACTTTATTTTATTTTTTACACAAAATTTGATGCAAATCCTTTGATCCATATTTTTCGATAGCAAGCAATCGCCGAGCACGCAAAACACTTATAACCTTTACGCTTCTCACAACCAAACAAAAAATGGTATACACTTGAAGCTTGGTACAGATGTTCGGGAAGAGTGTACCAACATAACAAAACAAAAAAATCGATAAGCGAAAGTACGTTGCCCGTGAAATTTGAAAAGTCACCTTACTTTTTGAACACACCTCGTATAAACCCTTTAATACTAAATTAATAAGTTAGATGGTGCTACAGTCGGCTCACCCGCACTCTTTCGTTTGAGCTATCCCTTCCATATACTGCCTGCAGCGCCCTCACTTTATAGGTAGTGCCCTCAGTTTGCTGGCAGCGCCCTCACTTAACCTTTAAAAACCGCTTTGGCCTAGCAAAAGAGCGCAGTCTCTCGAGACAGCCTGCGAGCTTAGCTTGCCTTACCTTACTCCATTTGCAAGTAGATCCTCAGTAGTTAGTTGAATCCTTATTGATTTGTTAAACAAATCAATATTAATTACCAACTGAGAACAAGTTCATTTTAGAGCTGTTTACTACCTTTTCCATCCTTTCATCATAATAATCCTTTATACAACTATAGACAAGTGACTCTACAAGACAATAAAAACTAGATAACTAACAACATGACTTCTAACTCCTATTTTCAAGAAACAATTAAGAATTTGTGGAAAGCTTTTAATCATTCAGACGATTTAG